GGGGGGGGGGGGTCGTACAAGGACTGTCTGTAGGGGTGAATCGAAGGGATTAGTGTTTACGGAAAGCTGTTCCCAAGTTTCGACACACACCATGCTCGGGGATGAATGAAGGTGTGGGAAACAGGATTGTCTTATGTATCGGTTGAATGAAGCGCTTCTTGCTCGTTTTGGAAGGCTGTTCCCACGTTCGACACAACCAACGTGCACGGATGGAGACGGGAAGGGGGGGGTACTCATACTCGTGCATGCCGTAGTCGTTGGACCGTTGACCTCGCATCCCTACAAAGCCGGGACGCAGCACGCCGGGTTCTCACCGGACCGAGCTCTTACATCACCAAGCGCGGGAGGGCGAGCCGTTAACGGGACTGTCTATTGGTCGGGGTGAAATGAAGGGTTAACCTCACTGAACGAGGGGACATCGTCGGGGTATATTGCCAGCGACATACACAGAAAGGTTGCTGTGGAGCTGTCCATGATGATATCATTATCGGCCGCGGTTGGTTGCTTATTGTTTTTTTCGTCTCCAAAAAAAAACTTGGCTGCTGCCATCTCTCCGGACACCACCAATCCTGATGCTCCGCGTCTTCCCACCAGGTCATGACAAGATCACATTTTTGTTCAGATGTCGCGACGGGGTCAACGCTAACAAGGGCACAGATATCACACACCCCGACATGGTGCCCACAATACGAACGGCGCTATGTAGCTGGCGAACAGATGTCAAGGGACGGGGGGGGACGGGGGGGGGTATGCTTGACAGCGACTACCGCTTCCAACCGCGCCGGGAATGTGCTGCACAAATTGTCATGTGGTGCTCCGCATCCAACGGCGACAAGGAGGCTACAGAGCAAACGAAACACACCATTTGCTGTCTCAATAAAAAAAGAGCTGCGAAGGTCGGGAATGCCAACGAAAAACATCATCATCACTATCAGTGACAACAAAAAGCATCGACATGGCAAGCACAACACGAGGGTCCCAATCAACCAAAAGAGACGAGGAGAAGGTCATCGCGCCAACCAGAAAGATAGCCACAATCAGCGCCAATACAGCAACAACAGCATCCACCAGGGTCTGCCTCACCGTGCTATCCTCCAGCTTGGCCATGAGCTCGTGCAGCTTCATCTGTCTCCAGGGGTTCACCCTCCCTCGCTCCCCGTCCCCCCCCCTGCCACCCCCACCCCGCCCCCCGGAACCACTGCTGTCCCCATGCTGTCCTGCTGCAGCACTGGAGCCACGCCCTTGCTTGCGCTGCTGCTGCTGCTGCTGCTGCTGCTGCTGTTGCTGCTGCTGGGCCTTTTCTCCACTCTGTCTCTTCCTGTCTTGATTCGAGAAGCAAAACGAGTCCCCCCCTCCCCCCTCCCCCGCTGCCGGAACATCGACATCGTCCTTGAATCCCCTCCCTCCAGCCGTTGCCGCCGCCGCCCCCGCCGCCCCCGATGTTCGGGCAATACCACGGTCGCCTCGGCTACCTGTTGTGTGGTTCGGGGTGCCACGCGAAGTTGATGGGAAGGCGGTGGGGTGTTCACACGCGCGAAAAAGACCAAAATCAGAAAAGAACGGCAAAGCATAAAACAGTCACAAAGGCTGCAGTTTCACGTATCCTCTCGTTCTTTCTCGCATGACAGAGAGCTCCACCGCGTCTAGATAAGAATGTGAATAAGACAATAAAGAATCTACAACGAAACCAAACGCCGCGCAAACGAAACAAGTAAAGAAGTGTGTCCTTTAGGGCAATGAGTTCATTGCTCATTTATCCCAGACTCTTACAGCAGTATCTGTGCATAGAAACGAAATGGTTTGTGTCTTTGTGAGGAACAAAAAAAAAGAAAGACAACGGGCTTGGAGAGCAAAGCAAGGGGCTTCGAAATCGGCCAAACCATGGACACTGCCGAGGCCAGAATGTGGACAACAATAAAGCGCAGCAACGGGGAATGGGTTGTGTCTCTCGAACTCGTTATCTTATCTGTGGAAGAGATGGATTCTTGTGTTTTTGGCAAGAACATAAACAACAAAAAACAAAAAAACGACGACAAACATTGGTCTCCTCGCACACCCCGGGTGCCAAACAACACAACACAACACAACACACGCAACGTATAGGTACACGAAAAAAAAAAAAAAACGCGAACCTTGATCTCGATCGCTGGCAGGCGTCGCCGCGGACGGCGTCGGCACCGCCGTCGACGCAGACCCCGGCGACGCGCTGCTGATGCTGAGGGCGGGTACCACCCGCATGTCCCCCGCGGAGCCCCCTCCCCCCCTCGGCCCTCCTCCCCGCTGGCCCTGCCTACCGCCACCGTCGCCACTGCCGAAGGGGGCGTTGTGGGTGCCGCTGCCGGTAAGGTCAGCGGCGCCCGGGCGGGAGACGCCGCCGCTGTTGCTGCTGCTTCGGAAGGGGTGCCGAATGACGTTCGAGGCCGTTCGGCGCATCCGGGAGACTAGGCCCTTACGGCGGGGGTGGCCGTCGGCGAGCACGTCCACGTGCTGATCGAAGTCGGTGCTGGTGCAAAAGGAGGGGGAGGCGGGGTCGTCAGGGGTGCTGTCGGCGAGCGCGTGCACGTGCGGATCGAAATCATTGCTGGCGTATAAGGAGGGGGGGGGGCGGGGTAGTGACCATAGAACCCGAATAACCAATCAGATGCAACAGGGAGGACACACGCCTCTTTGCATGGTGTCGCTCTGCACTGGCAGAGGGGTCGTCACCTTCAGACCCAGCAAAGAATCTGACCAACCAATCAGTGGTCAGCACACACGCCTCTTGGCATGGTGTCCACTCAGCGCACGCGGGGGAGGGTGGCACCGTAAGACTCAGCAAAGAATCCGACCAACCAATGAGAGAAAACAGGCAGGACACACGCTTGTTTGCATAGAGTCGCTCGGCACCCGAGAAATGGGGAGATATTTGCCATATATCCAGCTGGAGTGCCACACCGATAATAAAATGACATGAACAGCCTGGCCCGATACGACCGACCAACTAGAACTGCCTGCACAGCACACCCAAGCACCCGAGAGCGAAAGTTAATCGACTTGATCGAGGATGCGGACGTTGAAAGAACACACAGGACTAATTAACCACGCGCAACACGGACGGCATCCAAAGCGGGATTATCCATTAAACTGGCAGCCTCGCCAGAGGGACAAGTGACCTCGCAACAACTACTACACACCTGAAAACTGAGCCATGCCTTCAGCATGATGCAGTTTTGGCAACCGCTCTTACTGGCTGTACCACACCAAGCGGCAAATCCCTCGCAACACATCAAGAACCACCAGGCAAACGGGAGCAGCTTCTAGGCTTGTGCTCGGTAAGCGATGGCCTTGTACTCTTGATGTCGATTGGAGTATCATACTGATATATGGTGAATCTAAATCGCACAATTAAAATCACCTACCGGGCATAAGACTAGCAACTTTACATCGTTGTTCTCGTCAATTTGGGTGGTGAATAACTGAACATAGAGTGGAAAAAAGGTGCAAGTATCAAAATCGCAAAAAAAAAAAAGAAGAAGCCTAACGAGCAGCTTTCTTACCTCAATTCCAAGGCAGCCTGTTGTTGGTCCGTTGTCGGCAACGCCTCGTCCAGCACCGACCGCGATCTCATGTAGACCGTTCCGAGGGCCGCGGTTCCATCTCTCCCTCTTCCCCGCACCCCTCCCCCGCTTCCGCTTCCGCTTCCGCTTCCGCTTATCAACCCGTCCCCAGACCCCCCACTCCTGCCCCTGTACCCCACCGGCGCTCCGAACTCGCCTGCTCTAAGCCGGCTGTCTTCGCTCTCCAGCGACGCCGACCGGGTCAGCTTCTTGCGGAGGACGTTCAAGGAGGAGCGGGATGACCCGTTGGCCCTGTGGCCGGGTACCGCTGATGCCGACGTGATGGAGGAGGAGGACATGCTGCCGTCGGAACCGGCGCCAGCGCTCGCTGGGGCTCGCCTTCCAAGGGATGACGTCCACTGCTGTTGGTGTTCCCAAGGCAAGAGGTAGGGATAGGAGGTCCACTGCTGGTCACAAGTATGGTTAGTTTAGCGTGAAGAAGTGGGAGGTCCACTGCTGTTGCTGTTCGCAAGGAGTAGGAATAGTCAGGGCTGACAAGCAGATCACCGAACGGCGAGAGGGTAGATGAGAGGACGACTAGGGCGGCGCGTCAGGTCTTTCGAGAGATGGAGACATGCATATATATGTATGAATAGAGAGAGAGAGCTACGGACGGTCAGACGGTCGGAGGACGAGGGAAAAATCACACAACCGAGCAGGAGGACATGGCCCAGGAGGACGAAGAAGACCCTCTCACACGAGGTATTCACGGCGCCCGCGTTTTCCACAGCTTCTCACACCAGGCAGCAATGACGCTTTACACACTCATCTCTTGTCTACCGCCGTGATGAAAAAAAAAAACGCTTCATGATGCAGCCGTACACCATCTCTCTTTCTTCTTCTCACCTGATTGCCGCACACACACCTAACTATTGTCTACTGCCGCGATGAAAAAAAACAAAATCTTCATCAACCAGCCGTACCACTATCATCTTATTATCACCTGTCGCTGGTCCGCGGCAGAGCCGGCGCTGCTGTTGTCCGAGGAGCGCCGAGAGTGGTCCCCTATCGCACGGAGGCCTCGCAGGGGGTTAGCCGTCGCCCCGACAGCAACGCCGGAGCTCGACGCCGGCGAAGAGGAGGAGTCCGGCGGCAGCTGGAGAGAGTCCATGGAATGGACGAACGACGCGCCGACGTCACCGCTGCCGCCGCCCACGGACACCGACGATATCTTCCCGTCCGGGGAAGAAGAAGATCTGGAAAGGGGGCCGTGGGAGATGTCAGAGATGTAGTGATGATATTTAAGCTCGACTTAACGAGCATCTGACCAAAACCCATCAACACAACACCGCGAAAAAACACTCACAGATCATCCATCTTCCCGTCCGGGAAAGACGAGGATCCGAAATGGGGACAATGGGAGATATCAGAGATGTGGTGGGAACATGAAGCTCGACTTAACGAGCATCTCACCAAAAACCGTCAACACAACACCGCGAAAAAACAAAACACTCACAGATCATCCCTGGGGCCCCCCTTTAACCCCCCCGTCTTCCTCCCGCCACCAGAGGCATCGAACGAAACTCCTGCGGGGCTCCTGTGTTCGGGGCTCAGCACGTCAGCTTCCCCGTCCGACAGAAAGCCCGAGCCTAGGTCCATGGACGGCACGTTGACCGCGGACAAAGAAGAGTTCGATGCACCACCGCTACCTTTTCGCTTGATCGACAAGCTCCCCAGCCCCTTCTTGTGGTGAAGGTGATGAGCTCCGTCGTCCAAGTCTCTCCGCCCTAGAGGTGGGGGGGCCTGTAGAGATGAAAACGAGGGGGGGAGGGGGGTTGAGGCATCGACTACAAAATAAGCATCAGCGATGGCAGCAGACACGATACCAACATAACGAAAATGAAACCAATACAACGCAGACGGTGATGCTATTAATAGTACGATTCCCACCAACGCTCCATCACCACTACCAACAGGAACACCACAGCCACCATCCACACACAGCACATAGCAGCCATCCGCCATCCACGTACATAGCACAACAGCCACCACAACGCAAATCGCAGACAACAACGACGACGACGACGACGACGACGACGGCAACGACGACGGCAACGACGATGCCAATACCATTTCCACCAAAACATGAAAAACAAAACAAAAAATGAACAGCATCACCGGCAGGAAGGAACACCGCAACCCGCCAGTCACCAACAGCAAATAGCCACCACAGCAGCAGCAACAACAAGGGCGACGACGACGACGACGACAGCAACTCCATCACCAAGAAGGACGACGAGGACGACAGCAACCCCATCACCACGCAAGACGGCGACGGCGACAAAGGCAAGGTGTCCATCTACAGGCGAGTAGAGGTCCCTGTCCAAGGGCGCATGAACAAGGCCGGTTGCCCTGCTCAAGGTCGGTGAATTCACTTGGCACAGATGCTGGAATATTCAAGTCGTCTCGTGCTTTGAATAGCGCCGGATGGGTGCCCACACAAGGCCGTTGTTTTCCCTTGGACCATAGCGGCCTTAAACTGTACTCAGCTAGCGTACGTACCTCAGGGGGCCGGCCGGAACCATTAGAACCCAAGGACGACCCGGTGGAAAAGGCCGACGATGACGTTGCCTTGCTCCCCTTCCCCCTGTCATTGATGCCTTTCCTGCCCCTGCCGCTGCTGTCGGCATTCATTGGAGACGATGACGACGCAGTCGGAGACAAGAAGTTGTACTTGGAAGTGCGGGACCGCCAGTCCGAGAGTGCGTGCCACATCTGTTGGGGGGAGGGGGGGGGCATGCCGGAATCGCTAGACCATTGACCTCTCATCCCTACCATGCCGGGACGGGGTGATATGCCGGCCCAGGCTACTGAGGCGGAGGGGAAAAGGGTGAGTTATGCCGCTTGAAAAAATTACGATATTCATTTGAACGTTTGGTGGTGACAGCTAGCCATGCAGTCTCCAGCAGTGCCAAACCTTTCCGTAGCTTCATGGCACATCCAATCCATTCCGGGCTTGTTCAGCACCTTCAAAGACAAAAGCCAATCGATCACACCTCTATCCAAATAAAACACACACGACCGGCCTGTGTGCACATGCATTATGTCACTCTGCTCGGAAAAAAAGGGGCCATTGGGACATTCACATTTGTATCCGAACGGCCCTAATATTTCCAAACACCTGGTACAGCACCAGTTTGTTTACCTTTGACGTGCATCACAGCGGGGAGCCCGGTTTAGGGACCGACCCCCTGTTCAGCGGCATGCCCCGTGATACAGCAACCATAACCGCGTGGCACCACGTCACCCCGACCAACAGGCGCTGTACCGGCAGTAGCGATCAATCCTGCCCTGGAAATCAACCACAACCCACCCGGACACACAAAAGGGGTCGTCAAAACCGTGCCCCACCACGTGTGGCACTTGTGGACAGTAAGTTGTACCTCCGAGAGACTGGTGCCGTGGGTGCTCCCCCAGCTCTCCACCGTCCGCTCCACGACCGCCAGTATCGCGAAGCTCATGACGTCTCTCCAAGCCCCGGCGATATCTGGGGTCCAGACCCCTTCTCCCGCACACGCCTGGCGTGCATTTTCCGTTCGGATTCGTCTCCCGTTGAATAGGATTGACACATCATTCGTGTAGTGGGGGGTTTTGAGTCGCGAAGTGTTCCCACCCTGCCTTAATTGGTCCCGGGCATACATCTACAACGTTTGCGATTTCGAAAATCTGCCTTCCAAAATCGTCTTGATTTGGTTTGAAAAAACATGAACAAGCTGTGTATTGTTAACGGTTCTTTTCTTTGGACAATGTGGATGGACTTTCCCATAGCCCCAGCCCGCACAATCCTCGGCAGACGATTTTGTACTCTAGTTCTCACAAAAAACAAAAAATATCAATTTCTACCCACAGACAAAGACAATAAGAAATCACCAATAGTGCCACTCTGTTTGTTACGGCTGTTGCGGCTGAAACGAACAGCTTTTTCAGGCAACTTTGACTCCCTTGGGGGCTATTCCGACGTCACAGGATACCACGGGGCGAACGCCAACAGCAAGCTGTCTCTTTCACCTTCCGAGCCATGGGCAACACCTCCGCGGAATACTACAGGGCGCAACACCGCCAACAGCTAGCCGTCTCACCTCAAGAGCTACAGACAAAACCACCGCAACTAAATCGCACGATAGTACAAGACGCAACACACAACAATGCTAACGTTCACGCTTACGGTTAGGGTTAGGGATACCATCAATGCCAACAGCAAGCAGTGTGTCCGTCTGTCTGTCTGTCGCTCTCTCTGTGCCTGTCTGTCTGTCTGTCTGTCTGTCTGTCTGTCTGTCTCTCTCTCTCTCTCTCTCTCTCTCTCTCTCTCT